TAAATGAGGAGTGTGAGGTAGTGGGGTGTGAATGACCAAGGCTACTAGGGCCTTCCTAAGGCTTCGTAATCCGATGGGAACTCATATTGAGCTTCATCATGTTGGTCCTAGTCATCTCAACCAAGATTTAAGGACTTGAAACCACCCATGTGAAATTACACAAAAGAGTCAAGAGGTTGGTAAAATTTTTAAGTGAGGTGAGTCCCATCACTAGTCCTCTAGGATAGTCAATAGGAAAGTCTTATGGCTAGATCATAAGTTCTAAGGACAAAATTAGGCCTCACCAAAAATGAGGTCAACAAATAGACCCCCAATAGGCATTGTGTGTTGGACAAGCACACCGCGTGTATTAGTGTTGACCGAAGCGATCAACCGAACCAAAGGAAATTTCCAAGTAATCAAACTTAGAACAAGACTATTGGATCAAACATGATTTGAAATTGAACTAGAGGTGGGATTTTTGCTCAAGAGTTTTTAGCTCAATGAAGGATTTGAATTGAAAACTTCTGCTGGGGATTAGTAGGTGTATTTTCATTTTGTAGCCGTGAATTCAAGCCATCAGGCTTGAATGTAATTTCCAATTTTTGTGATGCAATTTTTTTTGTTCATTTATTTTTATGAGGGGTATTTTATGAATTTTAGAGTGCCAACCATCAAGACAATTTGTCGGGGGTTTAATAGTAGTGGCAAATTCGATTTGATGTAGTGAGTGTTTTATATATGAAGATCATATTAAAGAGGAAAGCAGGAGGAATCATATCCAACTCAAGGGCTGATCGAGGAATTGGAAGCCATGATCCATTTAATGGGTTCTTAAACCTATCATGATTGTTGAGTGCTAAGAAAGGAGTTGCATATCATGATCCATTTAAGGGGGTCTTACACATATCCTGATTGTTGATTGCTGAGAAAGAAGTCGAATGTCGTGATCCATTTAAGGGGGCCTTACACCTATCTTAATTGTTGAGTACTGAGAAAGGAGTTAGATGTCGTGATTCATTTAAGATGGCCTTACATCTATTCCAATTGCTGAGTGCTAAGAAAAAAGTCGAATGTCGTGATCCATTTAAGGGGGCCTTACACATATCCCGATTCCTGAGTGCTGAGAAAGGAGTCAGATGCCACAATCCATTTAAGGGGGCCTTACACCTATCCCGATTGTTGACTGTCGAGAAAGGGTCAGATGTTGTGATCTATTTAAGGGGGGTCTTACATCTATCCCTATTGTTGAGTGCTGAAAAAGGATTCAGATGCCGTGATCCATTTAAGGGGGGCCTTACATCTATCCCTATTGTTGAGTGCTGAAAAAGGATTCAGATGTCGTGATCCATTTAAGGGGGCCTTACACCTATCCTGATTGCTGAGTAGAACTTGTGAATGTCGATAGTTTATGAAGTATGAAAGTGTTACAGAATTGTTAGGATTTGTGGAATTACAGGAACTCATGAAGTGTGATATTTATGAAGGCGATAGGATTTACATAGTTTGTGAAAGAGTAGAGTCTTGCGGTGCTTGAAGTTGAATTTTGTGGAGACTATTGAATATATGGGTGTGTTCAAATTTTGAAGATCGTGAAAAATGCGAAGTCACGTTAAGTTTTGTTGTTTATTTGTTTTTCAGACTTTCTTATCACTTTTTTTTTGAATTTTTCTTAATCTTAAGTCCTTGTTGACATTATTTAAAAAGTGGTTTATTGCGTGTTTTTTGTATCATTCCTTATCCGTAAGTATTTGCAAACTGAATCAAAATTCAATTTCATGGGTTTAAATCAATCGGACAATGTGACAAACTTAGAACATGCTAACTTGCACTGAATTACTGAAATCAAAATGATCTTTATTGATTTTTCCTTAGAGTTCAATATTGTAGCAAAAGAGTTACGTCTTATATTGCACAACACGATTGTGCAAAGATCTAAAGATAAAGTAAGAATTTACGTCATGCTAGACGAACAACCTCAAAATCCTAAGGGTTATGTTATTTGAAACTAATGAAAGGTATTATTGAAGTAGATCTTCTTCATTTCTGAGTTTCGATCATCATCTGAAGTCACTCTTCATCCTCTTGCATCTTATTCTAAACTCTTGGTTGTAATAGTTTCAGGTTCAAGGTTTCTGCTTAAGGTTGTGATTATTATTGAGTCTCAGAGCTTGCCATTGGGTTCCTCCTAAGTAGGCAGACTGCTATCTCAATCCTAGGGTTCTTTGCAGGTATATAAAGTTATGCATAAATAAAACATGTTGTAGGGTATAGTAAAAGGAAAATACAGTAATAAAAAAGTGATCTTGCGTAAATGCCGCCTCAGACACTGTTGGTATAAGGTTAGCATTGTAAACATAACATGCAAATATACATAAATTAAACAAAATATGAGAAAACATTTTAAATATCCTCAGTTGCTAAAAAGTTTTGAGCACTGTATCTAAGGCCCATACCCGTGGGCATTGGGTATTACTGTAAGTTAAGTTTTTGTGAGATATTTCTCTTTAATGTGCTTTCATTTAAAGGGGCCCATGGGTTCTTATGAATTTCTTCTTTTTTTCTTTTGCTTATGTTGATTTTTATATTTTGAGGATGATTTTTCTCAACAAATCGTAGTAAGCCCAAATGTCCTATGAATTATCCAAAATCTTACAAAGATATTCAGGGAGTGACTCTGAACAGCTTTAGAATTTTTTTGACTATTTCAAGTTCATTTGACCTTGCTAAAATATTGAATTAATTAACCCGCTTGTATTAAAAATTATTTCTCATTTCAAATTGCGCTTAATATTTTTATGTCTCAATTAGCCCATGAGCAAAGGTACTGGTCAATTTTTGGTATTATAATAAGGGTCATATGAACAAACCCCAATGGTACATCTATAAGCATTCAGGGAATTTACACCCATGCCCCGTCTGAGCTTGTAATATTTTAAAATATTTTATTATTCATATTTTTTATATAGAGTTAAACCTAATTCACTATCAAGCTCTTGAGACTTAGGGTTAAACTTGTAATTTTGAAAAATTTTATAAGATGTGTTTGATCTCTATTAAAAGGATTGAACTTTACTTAGTCATTGATCGGGGGTTCCAAATTAATGCATTGTGAGGCTCCCAATCCATTCCCCTCACTATTTTATCATCCAAATTCTCATTTCTACTTATTTTCAACAATTCCAACAATTACAATTTTGTCCTTTTTAGAAAATATCATGAATGAGTTACTACCCTCTTTACCCCCCTTGTGTTTCAATTATTTTAGTGAACTAATTATCATAATTTGATGCCCTTTCTCTCTGATTAATCCTAAAAAATAATTAAATTAGGAATAGAGTATAAAATTCTAAATTTATCTTTATGCCCCTAGAGTTAATATCTCTCTAGCTTTCATATTATTAATTAAATGACTATGAAACTTCATTGACCTCTTACACATGGGCTAATTAAGACAAGAGAGTGAAATTATATTTTTCAAATATTTAATTTTTTCTGTAATTATTTAAATCCTTAATTGTGCAGGTCCCAAGGGTAATTGTTTTAATCCTCAAAACATATCCTCTGTCCTTAGAAAATTTTTCTAATATTACATAAATTCAAAGGACCAATCAGGACCATTTTCATAATTTTTTAATAATATTTTAATTTTTATAATTTTTATTTGATTTTGAAAGGAAAATAAATAGAAAAATACATCTTTAATTTTAAAATTAATTTTTATTTTTCTTTATTCCCTCTAAGCTCACTGAACTCAGCAAACTAGATTTCATATTTTTCAGATTTAAATTTAATTTTTAATAATTACATAAGCCAATAATTTGTAGAATTATAAGAAATTAAATTTGGGTATTCAAAATATATTTCTATCTTTAAAAATTTATGAGGGCATCTTAAGGTCACTATCTTCAATCAAAGGGATTTATGTGGTATTTTGAATTATATTTATATTTTTATAATTTTTAATTATTTTTGAGAAAAAAATACTTAAGAAAATGCATTTTGTAATTTTAAATTTCATCTTTATTTTTATTAAGTGCCTCGGACTTTGATTAACCCTCCAAATTTTATGGTATATTTTTCTGATTTATATTTTATTTTTTATAATTATTTTAATAAAATAGATCTAGATCTCATGAAAAAATTAGGCCTTTTAGAGTTAGAAGTGTTATCCGACCTTGAAAAAATCAGAGAAAGTCTTTAATCACATGAGGAATAAGTCCTGAAAATTTCATGCCTTAGTGATTAATATTTAATTATATATGATTTACATAAAATTTAGGACATTTAGTTAATTAAAAATAAAAAATTAGATAAATATTTTCAGTTTTTGGTTCATTAAATTCTCCTCTGTTCAATGAGCACAAATGTATTTTTATTTTATTTTTCTGATTTTTCTACACGAAAATATGATTTTTTAAAGTTTATGTATTTAATTAAATCAAGAAATCTCATATTTTCTTACTTAACCACGTCGGCGCCAACTCAACATAGATGACTTTGAAAGACCGCGTGCCATCCCTCCATTCGTCGTGCTTTACACCTCAACTGCCACCTGCGCCCACGGACCGGGGCACTGTATCGATCTGATCTGTCGTCCGCAACTATCCAAGTTGTCCGTTTCAAATGCACGAGAATGGACGACATCCGACCATCTTCCCAAATGAACTATAACCCGAGAACCGTCCACACTCCAAAGCTAAAATCTCTCTTGATACTTAATCAAATTAAGTGTGGTTTTTTCCTATAGCATCATCTAAGTGAGACGAACCTATCTATACAGCTAAGTGGACATGAATTGTTCATTTCTTTTACAAATGAACAAACCACGGCCAAATTAGAGATTTTCGAGCTAAAACTTTGTATAAGAGGTAAGGCCTCAATATGATTGATTGAGAAGCTTCGCCTACCTCCCACAGACCTCCCCCAAGTCTTAATTTCACCTTAATTAAATTCATTTGACTTTATTACCAACTAAATAAAACTCCTCTGCCTGAGGAACGTAACGGCTCCCTCGAATTTTCGGCGGCCTCATATCCTCGTTCGATCATCCCCCGCTCGCTCCCGCTCTCTCTAGAGTTGATCTCTCTCTCTCTCGCCTGGAACCCCCTTGCACTGAAGAACCCCCCATTCGCCTACTTGTCGTCTCCTGCATCGAAGCCCTCCGCCTCCTCTCTTCCTCGCACGACCAAACAGTTGTTCGGTTCACCATACCCCGCTAGCTCGAAACCCTCACCTCCCCCTCTCGACCGAAGATCGAAATCCTCGCCTCACCTGCTCGCTCGACCAGCTCTCCACCAAAGCCCTAACCCTCGACGCTGTTCCTCTTCCTCGTTCACGCCTCCTGATTGGTCCGAAGCCCTCTTTCTTTCCTTCTCCATTCTTCAGGCATTTGGAAGTATGAATTTTACTGCTTTATTCTTTGATTAATTTGTGAAGTACCTCGTGCAATAAGAGGTGTTCATGTGTTCTCGATTTAATTAAGAAGAATTGTCTTCTCTTATCCTCTGAGATTTGATTTATCAGCTTGGCATTTGAATGGTTCAAGATGTTTATCATGGTGTTCCTTTTTTTAAAAAAAAAAAATTTGAAAGTGCAGCGGCCTCTTTGGAGAAATCCAAAAGTCTTTTTTTGTTATTTTACTTACGAAAATCTGAAAGTCTTGGTGTTCTTTTTTAAAAAGACCTAAAAGTGTAATGGCCTCTTTGAACATTTTTGTTATTTCACTTACGAAAATCTGAAAGTCTTGGTGTTCTTTCTTGAAAATTCTGAAAATACAGTAGCCATTCGGAGGAACCTGAAAGTTATTCTGATATTTTGCTTGTAAAAATCAAAAAGTTTTGATGTTTACAATACTTTAGATCCTCTATAAAAAAAAACGTGTACATGGAGAAAACTTGATATACCTGTCACTGAAAATGCTTCATTCCTATTTCCTAAACTTGATATTTTGAATCTCAAACTTTGAGTAAATGTGCTATTACTAACCTCGTGAGAATTGACGTCCAAAAGGTAGTCCCAATAGCAGAGCAGCCTTTAGAGCTCCTTTCACAAAAGCTTCCTCATTCACTCCTTTAGCAGGAGGACTTACTTCATTTGCTTTGACAACATTATTTGATAAAACACTTTGGATTAGTTATCTTATATTGGCCTTCCACTGCTCCTACCTTTATGGATCAAATTACAATTGAGAAATCCAGATGCATATCATACCATGCCTATGTATTTACATAGCGAATAACTAAACTTCATTATCTGTTTACATGAATAACACCCCATTCAGGCTTGGATAAAAATATTGGTATTGCCTTTAACATGGTATAAAATTTTGGCGGTGATAATCTAAGAAGTTGTTCAAATTCGATTCAAGAAAAATGTGAAATGGGGGTTGTTCTTGTGCAACTTCTTCACTGTTTTGGGAGGGATTTGGGGACTTTTAAATTGCCGTCTTGGGACTGTTTTCAGGATATTTCTTTTGCTGTTTGGAGGTGTTAAAAATGTTGTGTAGTGCTGTGAATTATTGTTGAAGGTGTTAAAAATATTGTGTAGTGATGTAGGGTGCTGTGAGAGCTGTTGGAGTGCTGTGAGAACAGTTTGGAGTGCTGTTGGAGTTTAAAAAACTATTGTAGGTAGTTGTTTGAGTGTTGTGGTTGCTGTTTGGGCTCATGTTGTTGATGTTTGGGCTCATATAGATGTTGTTTGGGGTCATATAAGTGTTGTGGGAGCCTAGAAGTTGCTGTAGATAGTTGTTTGGAAGTGTAAAATGGCTGTTTGGAGTAGTTGAAAGCTGTAGATAGTTGTTTGGAAGTGTGAAATGGCTGTTTGGAGTAGTTGAGAGCTGTTTTAGAGCCCTTAAACACTGATTTTGAAACCTTTAAATACACGGTTTTGTGACTGTTTAGGGGCTGGTTTTGCTGTACTTTTTGGGCACGTTTGACAGCTTACAGGTTGCACTTCTTGGGTCTGTCTAGTGGCTTAGGGGTTGCGCTTCTTGATTCCATCTCATGACTTTTGGTCCGCACTTTTCTGAGTCTATTTGGTGACTTTTGGACCTCTCTTTTTCTTACTGAATTGGAAGAATTTTGGGCCGATCAAAACACTGCCTTGGAACAAACTGAGCACTCTTATCAAGAGTATATTTAATTACGGTTGTTGAAAGAATTGAAGCGCTTTTAGGATCGATTCACTTTTTGCTTCCCCCTTTTTTAGTTTGCTAGTTTTGGGGTGGATCGAACTTTTTTTTTCTTTTGTTTTGCTTCTTTCGCAATGGTTAAGTCAAAATGGGAGTTTCTCATTTAATTATTTGAAAAACACTTAATTAAAGGTAAAACACCATAAACCACTTCAAGCCTAAGTTAGAAGCGTAGGCTTCGTAAGTACACCCTAGGTGAAAGTCCATTTACCTAATTTTCAAATGAATGATGAAACAAGACATTTGACCTCAATCCACAAATCGATTAAAACACTAGACACGAGGATGCACCAAGATGCGGTTCACAACTTCCTTGATTAAATCAAATAGTGAAATTCCTGCAATGACTTAACATATAGTGAAACCCACTACACCGAGATTTGAGTTTGAACATTACACTCAAATCTTCCTGGCGATTCATGACATTTGTTAATGCCACATATGGATCATCAGACTAGGATAAGTTTAGGGTCTAGGTAGCGAGGGCGGTAATGACATTGCTTATGTGTGTTTAAATGAGGGATACAAAGTGAAATTATTATAATAGTATCTTCTACCTCAAGGACCTTCAGTAAGGGAGAGGAAATGACCAATAATGATATTCACCGACCCTTGGTGGGATTGTTGCCCCCGTCGCTCTTAGGTTGTCAGTAGTTCTAGCACGATTAGAGTGACTAGTCTGTAGACTACACTACTTTACAAAATATTTATAAAAATAAAACAAAATCTCTTCTACATATTAGAAAGAACTCTGCATAAAAAAGACTTAAACAACAATTTTTGCATGAAAATCAAATAATTTTTCTATGAAAATTTATAAAAGTTCATGATTGGTCATTTGGATCAAGGTTAAGGACTGTTCTCTCTAGATTGTCGGGTTGATAGCTCTTGTTCAAGATCGGGAAGCACACAGTCCAGCTCTGAGCTCCCTACTTTAAAAATCTAAAATATTTTTCTTATGATATATAGATAAATGTTACAAATTAATAATTTTTTTCTAAAATTTTCCAATTTAAACTTAACTTCTTGGAAATATAAAATAGTAAAAATATGTATTTAAAAATTTGCACAAATATAATTTATAGCTCATCAATACCTGGGAAATTTTTAGTATGCTTAATGAGATGCATATGAGTCTAAATGAGTTAAAGAATTTAAGATAATAAGTTAAAATTAATTAAATTAAAAATTGGCATTTTTAAAAACAACAGTATTGTTAAAATATTATGAAATTATTTTTCAGTTTAATTTATATCACTTTATGTGATTCTAGTAAAAATTTCTTAATATTTTATTTATCAAATCATTCAAATAAAAATTCAAATTGAATCCCTACAAATTTTATTAAGGTTAATGCTAGTTGTTAGATTTTATTTAAGAAGGAATCAACAAATATCATATCATCTTCTACATGTCTACCATAGAGATTAAAGGAGAAATCTTCTTCAGGCTTGCCTGGCCCAACTGAGAATCATAAGAATTGAAATTTTATTGAAATTCCTTCTCTTGAACCTAAAAGGGGTATAAGTGTACAATAGTTGACCTTGAATTGACTTATAATGTTCTATATTCATCAAGACGACATAGTTCCTCAAGTGTAGCTGGATTTATATTTCTTACCTCGGTGTTTGATTTTAATAGTAGGTTTGATGTCTTGATTATTAGGTGCAAGATGGAAACCATCTCCCAAATTTCTTTGAGTTAGTTTTGATTATATTGGCTACTAAACACTAACACCAAATAGATCCCTAATGGCGGTCAATAGTTTTGAGATTAGCTAGAAAAGTTGGGAAAGATTTAATACATTTTAGAGCATTTAGAATGAGAGAAAATCAAATAAGGTAGTTGATTAAACTTAATTTTTATTAACATTTTGAACATAAGCCTAGGCTATGATTAATTATTGCTAATCAACATGGTTAACAATTGGTAATTATCATTAGAGCCAACTGAAGTGTGGAGATGATTTTTGGAGACAAAATCCCATGTTAACGAAGCGTTTGTGGGCACAAACATTGGTGTAATTATATTTGATTTTTTAATCAATCTTAAGAGGGTATAACCCTAAGTTAATCATAAAGTCATGAACATTTATTGGGCTTAAGATAATATTTGGTAATTTAAATATTAAGGCTTATTTGGTTTGCTTAAGCTTATTGAGCCATTATGGGTTTAATTAGGTCAATTCATATTTTAAGAAACCAATTGACCAATTTAGGATATCAATTTATGATTTTTCTTTTTATTTATTTTGCCATAGCCATTATGCTAAATCTAACCTTTAAAATAACTTTAATTAAAAATTTATTGTAGTTTTGGAAAACTAATTTATGCTTGCCAACTCAAGTAGAGGCATTCTTTCCCTTTAATAAAGGTGATGTGAAGTTTCCCAATCTTCTCAAGGAGCAAAAAGTTGGTGGCAAAAGTAGTGGAAATCTTGAATTGATGGAGTACTTTGACATTCTTATTGGTCATTTATGAGCTAAATTATGTTAAAATATTTATATTTAGTTTTTAATCGCTAAATTAGGGCATGTTTAGGATCGCTTTTATTTTTTAAATATTTTTTTTGTGTATTTTAAGAAAATATTTTTATAATTTTAAAATAAATTAATTTATTTTTAAAACTATTGATCTTAATTCTTAGATATTTCTATTATTTCTAAAAATAACTCACCATCACCTAGAAAAATATATTTTAATACTTAATATTCAATAAAATATAATTTTACATACATACATACATACATACATACATACATACATACATACATACATACATACATACATACATACATACATACATACATACATACATACATACATACATACATACATACATACATTACAAACATGCACACATACATCCATACATACATACATACAAACATCCATACATACATACACACATACATACACACACACAGACATACATACATACAGACACACAGACAGACAGACAGACAGACAGACAGACACAGACACACACACAGACACACACACACACACACACACACACACACACACACACACACACCCACACAACCCTCCGTATATATATATATATATTCAAATCATTATAGACTAAAAATAAAATATATAATATCTTTCGCTGAAACATTTCATGTTGTGCTTCTTTTCGACAAAAATAGTACCAGCAATGGGCTGAGCTTTTAACCTTTCATGGCAGGATGGTGGGACGAGGGACGAGGGGCGAGGGACGATGGGGCGAAGCTGCTTCGCTGGTGGTCTGCCAGATTGTTCCAATGCCCGTTCTGCAGCCAATGGCAGGAAACATGTTGGGGGTTTCCTCCACTGCATTGCAACTTCTTGAATAAAGGAGCCATAACTTGACCTAATGCATTTCCAGGAATCACGAGCCAGAATTAAAGACGCATCCATGGGAATCTCCACGAAAGAGAGAGGTAGATGGTGGAAGCACGGAGGACTGAAGCTGTTCCGCTGCTGTAAGCACAGAGAAATGAAGCAGAAATGTCCGGCAGTTTCTGGTGTTGGTTTCTCTCGTTTTTCATGCTTTCTGGATGAAAAACGTTGCTTAGGGTTTTGTGGGATTGTTTGTGAAAGCGATATATGTGGGGAATGGTGGACGATTCCAGCAATCATGCTGCCGGAGGGTGTCGCAAGCGAGGTGATGCTTGTGGGAATTCTTTGCTCTTTCTGTTTTCCATTATTATGATTTTTCTAACGGATTGTTTGCTAAATCGTTATTTTTTGGGTATGGAAGCGCCTTGCTTTCACTATTTGGGCAATTCAGTTAATTTAATTTAATGCAGGTATCTATTGGTAGATTCTGAATGGTTACAGAGTCCTTTTCGAGTTTGGAATTGATTTTAGATGAATTAGTTTGTTCAGACTCATATAAGTTGTTGGCAAATGGTCAGTATGGAAACAAAAATTTGAACCGCTGTTTTGAAAATCTCTACTATGTACCTATTTTGGTGTTTTTAGACTTTTGTCGGTCTCCATCCTCATTGTATTTCATGGCTATCTATTCATTCACATCTGAATTTGAGAACGTAGCTTATCTGTTGCAATTAGTCTAACTTTTAGTTAAACTCTTACATGAAGACAAATATTTTTTTTGTTGTAGCATTGGCCGGCATTAGAAGTTATCATCAAATGACTAGAGAGTTCTAAGCTAATAGAATTATGCTAAGATCAGCATTAATTTTGTATTTTTTTTTTTGTTTAAGCAAAATAAATACATAAATAGTATCTCTTGGATTGGTTATCGATATTGCTTACAAAGGATATTCCAAGTGAGCTATTTTGATATATGCAATATTTATATGTGATATGATTCTAAAAGATGAAATTTTGCTAAAATAAATGAAAAGTTATACACTAGTAGAATTAAAATAAAATGAACTCATAATTTGCAAAACATAGAGAAAACTTATGATATGCAATATTAGTTTGTGTAAATTAAAAAATAGCCATCAATTTTGTTGAAGATTATGTAATATCTAGGTAGTATTTGTTTAATTTTTTTTGAATCAATTATATAAACGAATGAAGATATAGATTAGGACATAATTTTTTGGTTAATGGTATGTGGTTAAAATAAAAATTTATTTCATTTGTACTTCACGATTAGAGAAGATCATGGGAACTTAAAAGAAAATTTTATAAAGTTACAATTCTAGGCTATATGGACATAAGTTTTGAAAATAATGACATTTGCAGCCAAATTTCATATGGCATGTAAAATGTTTGCTAAAACAATGATAGATAGAGAAATGATCAAAGAAGAGGGATGAGGAGACTAACAATATTGAAGATAAAATAGTTAAAAATGGATTGAGAAGATAAATTAATGTAGAGAATTTGGAAAAAAAAATGGATAGAATAAAATTAACATGATTATAAATTATGCAAGATATTGCACAAAATAGGCAAAGCTCCTCATGTAACTCTCAACAAAATCACCATGGACAATCCTAATTTTGAATAGGAAAAGATTTTAGAGTTTATTTTATCTGATAAATAATCATAAAAAATAGTTAAAGCCCATAAAAAAATTGAAATCTATTTATTTTTTTAGTTTTAAGGTGTTACACCAAACCACATACCACAACCTAACCCAATTATTTTGAGGAGTAGACAATGTTTTGCTAGGACATCAACCCTAGTGTCACACCACACTTAACTTGATTTTGGTGAAAAATAGGCTAGGTTTGAATAGGACATCACCCACAGGTATTGTACCACAAATCAAACACTCAATTGTGATGAAAAGTGGGCACGGTTAACTAGGTTTAAAAATACAATCATATTTGCTACATGAAATTGTGGGATTTGAATGATAAAACTTGTGGATTGATGGGTATAATTATTAGAAGAAAATGAAATATTACTTAATTTTAAAAAACAAAATGAAAAGAGGAAAAATCATGGACATTAATAGTAGGAATCGGGTATAATGGCTAGAGAGGTCAACATAAAATTCTTAAGGTGAATAAGGATGATAATTGGGTAGTTTCTATTATTATTCAAAGAAAGCATTATAAATGGTCCATGCTCCTTAAGTTGGATTAGGAGATTATTATAAAATTTAATTTTCAGAAGCAATAGGTGACCTGCTATAATATATACTTGATGAAGAATGGATGGTTATTAAGGGTGCATTAAATGAATATGTTAGCTCTAGTAAGATGGCTCATGAGAGGATATACGTTGGGTATGAAATATGAGATAGATATGTAATGAGAGAAGTTACGAGTTTGTAATAGCATATGATCTTACACTAGTGAAAGTATATTTTAAAGCACAAGAATAACACTTAATTGCTTAAAAAGTAGGAACATCAAATCACATTAATTTTTTTTATTTGGAAAAAAATATATTTATATTTTTTAATGAAAATTCATAGTGCCAACTTCAAAAAGGTCATGATAAGGTTAATAATGATGCTGATGGTTTCATATTACTCTTTATAAGAATGATTGTTAAATGAGTAGTCATCATGTGCCCAAATAGTCAGGGATAATGCAAGCAATGATGATAATAATAATAATTGAAAATCATCTTCCAAATCAAGTGGTAGGTGATGTTCTTTAGCCTTTTAGATGAATTTAATTTGTGTTCATCATATGTTGAAATATCTTGTTTTACCATAAACCTTCATTTGGCTTTGGCCTTAGCCTTCAACGTATCCCTGTTGAACCTTGACTTTTGCTCTTCAGTGACAAAATACAGGATTGATTAATTAGAGATTGATGTGTATATCCTTAATTCATTTTACTCCTTCATTAAACCATTTAATTCAGTTAAAAACGTATGTGGTCAGAGCAAGGATATGCAAATATATTCTTATTAAGATTTATTTTCAGATTGGTAATCAAAAGTATGGATACTTAGATGACTTTAGTGTATAACTTGCGCACTTTATGAGTGAAAACCATGTTTATCTAATTAGTAATAAGTTCTCTAAAATGATGAAATATATTCAAAAAAATAATGGGAGATGATAAATATAATTCAGTCTCTTAAGCTTCAAGTTCTAACGATGTGATTGATGGCTTTTTATCAATTATTTTGGTTGATATATTTTCAGTTTTTCACTATGAAATCTTGAAATATATTAATATATGGGAGTAGAATATGTAGACACTATTTAGATTTTCTTAATTTAGAAATTGTATTTTTTTTTCCATTCTTTTTGGATATAGAAAATGGAGTTTTTTTTTAAATATATTTATACATGAGTTTTATGTGTTTGATATATCAATTTGCTAATCCAATGATGGCCTTGAGCTTGGACCGGTAACGCCAACCTTTTTTGAATTTTGATAACTTACTTCCCCAACCTTTTTTGTTGGTATTGCATGAAATATTAAGCCATATGGATCCAGTGGATTCGCAGCCTTGGTACTGGAAGAAATCCCATCATTTCTCACGTTTTGTGACCTGACACATTTAAGTTATGCAATGGATTTAAGCAATGTTTAGATGTATAGAATGAAATGGAAGGCTATTTTATTAATATTGAATAGATTACCAGAGGTTCATGCACAAAAGTGCAAAACACAAATCAAGTATTTCAAAGCATCTGAGGAGAACTTAAATTTACTCTTCATTGCTGTTGATTCACTTTCTGTCATCGTTGTTTAACTTTATTTATGTTATGTCGCTACTTTTGTTTTTGTAGTTCCCAAATGGAAATTCAAAATGAAACTTAATTTTATCACTATTGATTATTCGACTAATTATGTGATTATGAGAATGTTTTGTTTCTTATGCCTTACTTTCACCTAGGAAGGTGTGCGTCAAACGTAAGCTGCAATTCTCTTGTTTTGTTGGTTTTGCTTTTTGTATTCTGCTGATAGTATTCAATATATCAATCTTAATGACTAATTAACGCTTGCGTATTACTTGTTTTAATGCAAATGCTGGTTTTTCTATGCAATAACTATCTGGGAAATATATTTGGAAAATTTACATGCCTAGCACACAATTCTTATGTATTTATTTATCTCACACCTGAACCCTCATATTTACATACATAGCATTTGGCACTTTAAACCTATGCATGAAAATGTGCATTTCACTTTTAAAAAATTATAATAGTGCTATTTTTTATGTAATATTAAAGATTTGAGTGCTATGTTTGTAAATATAAAATTTTAGGTATGAGATATGTAAATACATTAGAATTGTGTGTTATGTATGTAACCCCAATATACTTTAATGAGAAAATCTTACGGAAAGTACTATTTTCTAAAGTGAATTGAGTTAATTAGAGCTAGTGTTCCTGGGTTCTTTATTGCTTTTCAATAGCATCTTTCGTGTGATCTTAAACAATAAATATTCAGATTTACAGGGATTTATTAACATTCCTTGGCCAGGTATGGCATCCTTTAAACTGCAGGGAGAGCTGTCTTCTACATATAGATTTTATTTAACTGCAAGTAAGCAATTTTGCAGCCATTTGCAGCTTCCAATAAAATCATTAAGAAAATATCCTATATTGCTCGCAAAGTTACATGAGGAAGATGATCCTGAATGCAATAGTTGGAAGATGTATGCATTCTATGATACTCTAAATGCAGTTAATAAAACCTTGACAATGAATCCATATGAGGGAAATGTTTATGCTCAACCTGATAAATCAGGTCGTGGATCAGCTGAAGTTTCAGAATTGATGCCCTCTAATGGGTATTGTTTTTCTGAACTCCCAATAAATCATTTAGGGAGCGTTCTGGAGAAGTTGAAAGCTGTACATCTACATTTATTAGCTGCTGAACACTGGAATGCTTCACATCTTAAGCTATGTCACAGGTACTTGATTTGAACTTGCACGTTTATTCTACCTGTTAAAATTCTCAAAAGTTGAACTAGTTGTGGAAGTTATATCTTGTATGTTTTAACTTTAACTACAGAGATTACCTTGTGAGTGCAACAAACTTGACCCATTACTTGGCCTTAAAGTGTCTCCACCTTCAGCAACTTCAGGAAGACCTCTCTTCCATTGGCCTGGTAACCCTGGAATATATAAACCCCCATGTTCTTGCTAGTATTGGCACAAGCATCCAGATACTGGATCGTCTGTCATCTAATACTCTTGATAGCAATGATTCTGCAACCTATTTGGATAGGAATGGTTATAGTGCTTCACAGAAAAGTGAAAATGTGGTAAATTTGGCCATTAGTACCATGAAAAAAAGGGTATATATTCATACTGCAGCATTGTTTGGTGAATGTTTAGAAAAGAGAAGTGGACGAATCATGGTAACTGTTGGGGAAGAAGTAGTAAAAAATGAAATGCTTATAAATAATCTTCTCAAAGCTGGGGTTAATGTAGTTCGCATCAACTGTGCACATGATGGCCCAAGTGTTTGGAGTGAGATAATCAGAATTGTGAAACACAGCTCCCACTTGTTGGAAAAGCCATGTCGCATTCTAATGGACCTTGCTGGTCCAAAGCTCAGAACTGGTTTAGTGAAAACGCATTCAAATATAGTAAAACTGTCCCCAAAGAAGGATTCTTATGGCAATGTGGTCTTCCCAGCTCAAGTTTGGCTTTGCTTTGATGGCAGTAATCCTCCTGTTGATCTATCTACTAACTCAGTTATTTGGATACAGAAGAGATTCTTTGATAAGCTTAGAATGGGTGATTATGTGAACTTCGTTGATGTTAGAGGTAGAAAGCGGTTTTTAAAAGTGTTGAAAAGGTCTACTTTGTCTGCTGAGTACGGTTGCATTGCAGAGTGTTTGCAAACTGCGTATATTAAAGTGGACACAGAATTTTCTGTGAAGAAAAGGAAAAGAGAATTTTTTGGGCTGGTGGTAAAGGTTTTAGCTAGTGAGCGATTTGTTAAGTTAAAAGTAGGAGATCTGCTTACTATTTTTAGAAGTTCTTCCTCTTATCTTAATGAATTGGGAAGCACAACAGTGGCTTCAACAAAAATAACATCTTCTTCTGATCATTTTTTCGAGTCTGTCAAAGTAGGTGAGCCCATTTTATTTGATGATGGAAAGATTTTGGGGAAAATACATGAAGTGAATGCTAATTGGGCAAGAATTGTGGTAACTCATGCTAGATCCAAGGGTTCTAAGCTTGGTTCAGGTAAATCCATTAACATTCCTAAGAGCAAAATACAGCTTAAAGGCTTGACACCAAAAGATCTCACCGATCTTGACTTTGTTAGTGCTAATGCTGATATGGTTGGCATTTCATTTATTCGGAATGTTAATGACATAGTCATTGTTCAACATGAGTTAGAGAAACGAAATCTAACAAAATTGGGGATTGTGCTGAAGATTGAAACTAAAGATGGTTTACAGAGGCTACCTTCATTGTTGTTTCAGGCAATGCAAACCTCAAATCCTCTGGGGGTTATGATTGCTAGAGGGGACCTCATGGTGGAATGTGGATGGGATCAGTTGGGTGACATACAAGAGCAGATCTTGTCCATCTGCAGTGCTGCACACATTCCTGTTATTTGGGCAACCCAGGTTCTTGACTCCCTTGTCAAATTTGGCTTTCCTACCAGAGCTGAAATCACAGATGTGTTTAAAGCTATGGGGTAATATTGTTTTGAATTTATTTAAGATCATTATTTGATAAATACTTTTTTAGCATAACAATAATAATGTTTTAATGTGCAAACTCTGCAGGGCAAGTTGTATTATGTTGAACAAAGGTGACAATATTGTACAAGCTGTCACAGCTTTGAATTCACTTCTAAGTAATAGATCTAGTGGTAAGCGATGATACCCAATTCCATGTACTTATTTGGTAAGATGGCCACAGACTTATCTTGCAAACTCAATTTTCTCTGTATCAAGTTCATTAGTATATGTATATAAAATAGATTTAGATGTCCTTAAGATTAACCTACTTTGCTCTTCCTGAATCGGTATTTTTTTGTTCATACACTGCAGTTGCTGTATTAGAAAGTTATATGCTCAAAGAAGCGAGTAAAACTCAAATTGGATCAATTAAGTTGATTTCCTATAATCGATTACCCTAAAAACTTTAAGCTTATGTGCTCTTGCTAATTAAATTTGTGACTGTTGATTTTGAGACCTTGAGCTCCAATGATATTTTGTATTCTGTCATCTTCAGCAAAAACTTATTTTGTACTTGAATCTTGGCGCAGGGCAAAAAACGTATTTAGGTCAGTGAAATTATTTACACATTTAAAGTTGTTGTCAACCCAAATGAAGCCCATGCTCAAATTCTACTTCTGCCTCATCATAGTATTGATGAATGATGGAGAGAGAGGCATAATTTTTGTAGACATGTTAAGAAATGATGAAACATAATTAGAGGTTGCCCCTTTTTGAAAATTTACTATTCTTTATCTATAGTTTCTTATGATGCAAATTCCCATGACAAATTATCTCTCAGCTAAGCAAGAAGATTTTCTATTAAGGCTAGTTTTGTAGGCTTGTAAACGGATTATTTTATTTAATGTCATTACAAATGAAAGAAATGAGATGAATTCCTCATAAGTTTGATGGAACTTGATTTGGGGGGATGATGATAAGTCTTATCAAAATTCAATGATTTAGTCAAGCTCATGCATATTTAATCAGTTGAGATAGTCTAATCAATCATACTTGAATACTTTATTGATATTCATATTTTACTTCATTCAAAGAAACTTTATAGTTTAGGGGTTGAAGCATACTAAGGTGCAAATTTCAAGCCTATATTAGGAAGATTCACAAGCTTGGATTTAAGCTATTAGGAAACAAATTTGTCTTTTATCTCTGTTGCGTGTGGGAAAATTCGTAAAGATAGAGTGATATATCAACATCTTAGCATTGTACAAAAATTTAACATACACAGATAAAAGAAGAGATAATAGAGGAGACACCAAATCATTTTACTTGGAAACCTCTAAAAGGGGAAAACCACTGGGTCCAACCCAGTTGAAATGGTTCTACTATACAGATGAAGTTCTAGTATTTTTTATATCCTTGAACATAATAAAATAATATTACAAGAGTCGGAGTTATCAAGTTGACTTTCAGTACTAAATGAGTGGCAGAAATGTGGAAAAAGTGGTCATGACCTAGTTGTTGCAATGGAGGACCACCTGCGGGGGCCATGTGATGAAGATTGGATGTCAATGTCACTAGTTGTCGATGGGGGTCGGGCAATGGTGGTTTAGCTGCAGCGACGACGACCACCGAGCACTGGTGATTCAATGATGGCAGTTCAACAAAGGCGATGTTGACGTCAGTTGGGTGATGGTGGCCTGGTGATAGCAGTAATGACAACAAAGCGATAATGGTCCGATGGTGGTGGTGGTTGGGTGACGGTGATTTATGTAGAGGTTATATAATAGGGATGAAATTCGTAGTGGCTTCTTATGTGGAGTCGTACATTACATCAAATATCATGAGTGTACGGTTGGCTAGTAGGTAAGAATCCCCTTTTTTTTAATATTTATAATCATTACAACCATCATTGGAGACTTGATGGATAGAAACCATCATATGAGGATGGATCTTAGTCCTAAAGCTCATCCAGTTAGTCTTGGTTCTTCTTTCTTTTATCAATCATTGGCTTTTTTAGCTATTGAGGACTTTTCTCAGCCTGTAAGGTTGAAGCTTTCTCAAAGGGAGGATGTGGCAAGATACCAAACCAAACAATGGATCATAGAAAATCTAACCAGACAAAAAAATAAACATTTTATATTGTTTGGATTTGCCTAACTAACTGATTGAAACCCTTTCACAATTTAAATAAGCTTTTCTATACCAATTCACATAAAAATTGATTACATTAATAAAATTATAAATTTACCCTAAGTTAACATTAAAATAAAACTCAATTAAATAAAATTATTGAAATTTAAGAATTGAATTGAATCAAATAAGTGAAGAGTACATTAATAGATATATATTGAATTTTAATTGTTTTGAATTTAATTTAAGATAGTTTGTTATTTTCTTCAAAAATTACAAAATTACCTTCATTACTTTATGAACTACATATAACTCAAAATCACTAAAATTTAAAATGAAACTCTTAAATGAAACATAAATAATAAAAAAAAAATTCAAAAAATTATAAATTTAAAATAGGTTTCGAGTAGATTTGTAAGTTTATTTGAATTTATAAAAAATACCCGAATTACCTTTTCACTCATTACATAAAAAAATAAAAGTGATGAGACCCAAATAAGTGAGCTAAATTGTTAAGCAACTGAATATAAACCTTTAAAAATGTTTCCAACTTAGGGAGAAGAGGTTGAAGTATAAATATGATATTTACAAATATACCTTTTCTGGTAAAATTTGAATAACTTTCTTTATAAAGCTCCAAATTGAATAAAGTCTTCAACCATAAGTTAATTAATTTGAAAGGAGTTAAAAAATATATAATTCCTTCTGATTTATTACTTTTTAATATTTTTTTTGTTAATAAACCTATTAATAAGTTTAATAATTCATGAAAATTTAAAATGAATTTGAAATAATTTAGAAAATTTTGAGGTTGTTTGGAATCATATTCCAAACATTTCAGTAAAATTTCAAGTGTTTTAGAGATCATTCAGATTATTATGAAATTTTGAATAAAATTATTTATAATAAATTAAATAAGACACAAAAATTACAAAACTTTAACATTAATCTTTTCAACTTAATATACATCTATAAAAATTATTTTACATTATTTTGAAGTTATTTAAGTCAAAATATTTGAAACTCTAAAAATTACAAAACGTTTCAACAAAATAATCCATAAAAATTCACAAAACAATCATAATTTTTAAAAAAAATGTAATAATTGAGTTTATAAGAATCATATTCACTTTCCTAGTTGATTTATGAGATCTTATAAGCTCTAATAATATTAAACATTGATATATACCTTAAAAAATCATATAAATAAGTTATATATATATATATATATAAATACTTTTTAGACGACATAACTCATGGTTGCTGACAAAAGTCTTCAGGTCTAAACAGATGTAACTAACTCTTTAGGCTTAATATATCTAAAACTAACAGTATTACCGCCACGAAGGAACCATAGAATCTTGACAGGTGTTACATTAAATAAAATAAAATTAGTTTTCATTAAATATTTCAATAATCACTTTTGTCATGACAAACCCTAACTTAATTGTGTTTCACAAGATTACTATAAGTAAATAATAAGAACCTAGGATAGGCCTTTCAAGGCATGGTTTTGTTCTTTTCTTGAGTTATTTTCTTAATAGAGTTAGGTGGTGTTATGATTAGTTAACTATCAACATCTGAGATTTTCAAAAGAAGACGAGACACGAAACGAAGAATAAAACCTTAACTAAACCCTCAACGTTATCTCCGATGGTGGTGGTTAATATAGGTCATAACATTTTAGGTTTTTGAGGTTGTTCGTCTGGTACAACGTAAATATTTACACTTTTTTAGGCTTTTGTATGATTGTATGTTGTGCAATATATGTCAAAACCTTTAAGATTCTTTTGTTTGGTACAAAGTAAATACTCACACTTTCTTAGGCTTTTGTATGATTGTATGACATGCAAAATAAGTCCTGAATTTCTAAATAAATTGCAGGATTGAAACATCAATTAACTCTTCTTTCAAATATATAAAGTCAAATAATAGATTAGTTTGAGATGTCACTGAGGCTTCCTCGGTATCTTTGACATCTCATACTTTTTATTTCTTTGAGTTCCATAAATAACTGTTTCACATTGAGTTTTTCATATTTGATTTTCCTACAATCAATCGTGGAAAATAAACTTTGAATTCTTGAAGAGATAACCTCAATCTTAATTGAGAGTTTTCTTAAATAATTTGGGTCGCTTAAGATATAATTAACTATATGAGCTTGTACCTATAGAAAATCAGTAACTCATATTATTTAAATCCTAGCTAATCTTCAAATTAGGTAGAAGAAGGTTTTGTTGGTATTTTCACGGACCAAACAAATATCATAGATTTCTTATTTTGAATAATTGAATCCATTATTAAGTGATATTCTAATCTTTCCAGATGACATGTTGCTTATAATTTTATGTTCGATTATTTAAACAATCAAATATTTGAAATGTGTTCGTTTTTATTTTCAAATCAAACTATTTTTCAAAAATCAAAATTTTTTCAAAAAATAAAAATAAAATCAACAATAATTACGCCGCTAATGTGGCTTAGCCACGCCATGACTCTGGCGTGACCACGCTGATTTCAGGCATAGTCATGCATCTCTTAAGGAAAATCAAGGCTTGAACCCTTTGGTCTGGAGTTTCGGGCATGGTCACGCCATGCCTACAACTCAACTAGCCGTAATTTGACTTTTTCCTCCCCCTTTCTTGGCTACTTCCCCATTCATTATCATTAGTTTGGGAGGTCAAATGGGAGTGTGACATGTGGCATCCAACTCCCAAGGATTCTATGGGTGAATGACATGTGGAATTTCCATCATATTTTAAGCACCGGAGAGAAATTTCCCTCCAATTTGATTGGCCTTTTGGTCTGGTAAGTGGCCAATCCGAAATTAGGGGAGGAGGGCTCATATTTTTAGTTGGAGAGTTGATCTAGAGTTGAAGGGAGAAGCTTGAGAGCAAGGAAGCCTTCTTTCTTCTTCATTTTTTCATCCACTTTTCTTCTCTTCTTCATCTTTAGTGAGAAGACCATCTTCTTTTTCCTCTACTAAGTCTCTTAGAGAAGAAGGTAAGAGTGAGCGGTATTCTTGATGAAGAGCTCCTTGGAACCAAAGAGTCTCCTCATTTGGAAGGAGAGCTTCAACTTACATTGGAGAAGGCCTTATCTCCTCATTCGGAAGGAGAGCTTCTCCTACTTTAAGAAGACTTCATCCCTCCCTAAAAGGAGAGCTTCATCTGGTACGTGAAAAAGGAAGGAGGCAATCTTCTCTCCTCCCTTGGGAGAGTTTCGCCTACACCTCCACGACGAGGGACTTCTTCAACAGCCAAGTTGGTGAACTGTTTA